AGCATCTATCTATTTACTTTGATCTGCTTAGGTTTAAGTACCCATTCTCTAGATACTTAATGATGCCTTGTCTCACATTCCCCCTTCCTTTTTCCTTTTTTTCTTTTTCTCCCCCCTCTCCTATTTATTTTGAGTTTTCATATCCCCTACTCATAACTCCGGTCATCTGAAGAAGTGGGTTGTGCCCACAAAAGCTCATGATACCATCTACATGTTTTGCTAGTCTATAATGTGCTATCAGACCATTTGTTGTTTTTGTCAAAATTTTGTGCATTTTTTTTCAAGCCTGAATTTTGTCTAGCTTAAACTTCCAACCATTATCTCTCATTATGCCTTTTTTCTGCTAAATTAAAAAATAGCCACAATGTACCAGCAGAAATACCTTCCCCAAAGATGTTCGTCTTATTACAGCTTTTACAGCTTTGGCTTCATGCATGCTGTGGATTTTTCACAATACCTAAGTGCCTCCCACCTATTTGTATTTTTTCATTACCAGGGATGATCAGAAGTTATTCATCAGTGATGAGAAATTATAAGAAAAAAAATAAAATGCTTTTCAAAATCAGCGCCTTGATTTTTTTTCCCGAAAATCTGCTTAAATTTAATAATAGAAATATAACTTCAAACTAGAAAAGTGTGGCCTGCACTGTGCAGGGGGTCAGACTACATGATCATAATGGTCCCTTCTGACCTTAAAGTCTAAAGTCTATAAGGCTTGCTGTAACCAGAATTACATGGTGTAAGTAGCAGTCTGGTGCAGTCAGATTTGCTTACTATAAAAATGTGGTGAGTTTGTTGTCATTTGAAAGTTATTCAGTAGTGCATGATTTTTTGTTTGTTTTTTTCTCCTTTGTTTTATAATCTTGATAGAAGTAATTATGGCAAACTAGATGTATAAACCATAGATTCACAAACTAGAACTGTGAATTAGGTTCACAAACTCTTTGATACCTGAATTATGAAAGTATTTTCATGATGTGTGTGAGATACGTTCACTTAAAATTAACTTTTAAAATTTCTATTTGAAGAAAAATATGTATTTAAGGGTCTTGTAATTAAGTTACAGAGCTGAGAATCAGAGATCTGGATTTTCCTTCTGGACCTGACACAGATCTTATGTGTGACCTTGTTCCATCAGTTACTTCTTGAACCCTGATGCAGCAAAACAATTGAACACATGCTTTGGTGAATTAGGGCCTTTGTGTGTTTTAGAAGGGAAAGCTAGCAGCTCACTGTGAAACTAAATTAAAGGGTTTTAAAATAGTAGTTCTTCTTTGAGTGCTTCTTTACACTCATGGGACCACATGAGAGAAAGGTAAACTCCTAGCTGAACTTTGAAGACCTGGCACTGGGGATTGCAGTGGATTGCAGATATGAGAACCACTGCAGACTGCTTACATTTTTCCATGGCATAATAGTTAACTTTCCTTGGTTTAAAGCCTAATGAATTCCAATTTTAGAGAGTGTTAGGAAACGAAACTGAAAATAAAATCAGTTATTGCTAGTGCAAGTGTTGTATGATCATTTGTGTGAGGTCTCAGTCATGTAGTTTAAAAATACATATAATGAAACTTCAGTTGCTTACCTACTTTAGTTAGGAATGCATTTACTAATGGCTTTTAAACAATTCATTAGCCAATTATATAGAATATTTACAACTCCCTGCCTTTCTTTTATGTATATTTGTTATTCTTTCCTTTTTTCAATTATTGGTTTGTTTGTAACTTTAATAGCCCTATTAATCCATAGATCTGAGTATGACTAAAAAAGCAGCTGCTGCTGAGCCTGATAAACATGTCAGTGCTGCTACCACAGGTAAGACCCTGAAGCAACAGAACTTGCAAAATAAATATGTAACAACTTAAAAAACTATAATATGAATGAGTTACTAGCAAGCTAAAAGTACTGACACGTTTGAAGTTATTTGACAGTTATTTGACAGTGATAGCTGTTTAGAATAAGTGTAGTAAATAAAAACCCACCGAATATATAACTGATTAATTATAGAATTTAAAAAAGTATTAACAATTCCAGGTTACTGCTGTACTGCACACCTTTTTCACTCTCACTTTGTAGTGGATCTTTGTGCTTGTCACTTGATTGCAGGGTAAACTCCTATTGTTAATAACAGGGCAGCATTTATGACATACTGTTGAGGTAATTCTGATTCTTTCAGGTAGGAAGGTAGGTACACAATTACCTTCTCATTACAACACTCTTCAATTAGGGCTGTTAACTGATGTGCATTAATACCTGCGATTAACACAGGGAAGGATTAACACGTTAATTTTTTAACACGCTAATTGCAGGCGTTAATGCTGCACTGCCCCTTTGAAGCACTGCTCCGGCACTTCAAAGGGGTAGCGCATTAGGAGCCTGGGATCAGCTGGAGTGCTCAGCTGACCCTGGGCTCCGTGCAGCACTACCCCTTTGAAGCACCGAACCTGCGCTTCAAAGAGGCAGTGCTACACATAGCCCGGGGTCAACTAGGGACTCCAGCTGATCCCAGGGTCCCATGGTGCTGCCCTTTGGAAACACCAGGGAGGCTTTTCCAAGGGGCAGCTGCACTGAGCCTGGAGTCAGTTGAGGACTCCAGCTGATCCCGGGCTTCTGCAGCACTGCCCATTTGAAATGCCGCCACAGTGTTTCTCAAAGGGGCAGTGCATGCAATTAATTGCGCAATTAATCACTGAGGCATGCTAGCTTTGTGGCCTGGTTTTGCCACAAGGGGATGCTGAGTATCAATAGTAACTGTTAACATCATTACTGGGCTCAGTCCTGAAAAGCTCTAAGTACCCCATCCCATTGCAGTGAAGCACTTACACACAGATTCAGGAAAGCATGTATGCATGTGCTTAATATTAAGCATGTGAAGAATCCTGCTTATCTGGTCTCATCACATGTGTGAGTGCTTTGCTGTATTGCTCCAGAGTTCTCATCACAGTGCAGGAATATGCTCTAAAAAGTCTAAAGGAATGGCAGGACTAAAAATGACAGACCCATACATAGTCTGGCAAACACAAATGGAACAAATATGCCTAAATCAGCATTCAAGGAGCCTGCATACATATGATTTATTACTAGTTAACTAATGAGTTGTTTGGTTAGGGATGAAAAACATTAAGAAACAAATTAAAGTAGTCAATTGGAAGATGGCAACATTATTACCAGAAGCGACAATCAGCCACAAAGTTCAGAATTCAGGAGTCTAGCATCTCAGTACCATACTATTCCAGAAAGACTGAAAAATAAAAGGAATATGTGACATACTGTTAGAGGAAAATGAAGTTTGCAGAATTGTATCCCATCTCTGTGGTGCCTGTTTGTGGATGTAGTCACTCCTTTTCCTACTACTGCTACTTTCCAATAGTAATAATATAAAATATACAGTAATCATCAGGAATGCTTAGCCCCTCAGTTTGAGATAGTAGACACAATTTTGTGTTGCATAATTCCATTGATTTGAATGATAGTAGTTCTCTCCTGACTTTAGTGGAGTTGTAACTACAAAAAATTGATTCAGTATCTTCAGAGAAAGGAGGTGCCCAGTGGTAGCTGGACTATGACTACTTCCACAACCTTCTAGGCTTTTCCAACAATGATTGATTCCTTTGCTGGGTCCTGATATGTCTCTGTTTCAGAATTTAGCTATTCTGGTAAGGGAAAGGAGTGAAATCTCCCAGATTACACACATTTTATTTTCCTGCAAGAGCATCTGTCCCCATGGGACCAACGCTCATGAAGTCGTCTGGGCTTCCTGCACATATGTACTTTTGGATGCAGGAGAGTGGTGCCAATTGTGTAAGTGCCCAGCAGCTGAGACTTGCTACCTGAGTAGCTTTTTCCATCATCTTAAAGATGGTTAGTTTACATTTCATATAGCATCTTCTTAGATAGATAGTTTGCAAACAGGATATATCAAATATTTACAGAAACTGTTTGATGGGATCCAAGCATAGCAACTGTTTAAAACAGTTACAAACATTTTAAAGCAAGATTTAAAATGGCAGGAGAATTTAAATAAACAGAATATAATTTTCAAAACTGGAATTTTACAAGGAGATGTAAGTTACATTTCTGGTCTCGTAGTAATAATAATAGTAATCTCTTAATTATAATGTGTGGTAAAACCTGGATTTTATAGCTTCCCTGAAAGATGGTGCTTCCAAAACTAATACACGTTTTAGAATCACACTGAAGTATTGGCTTGATACTAATTTTAGAGGGAAAAGAATGCCTCTTGAATCTCACATCTCCTGGAAATGCCTTCTTTTGGCTAATGTCTTCCTCTAAACTCAAAGATTTTGTCACCTTTAGAAAGACGGTTATAGGTTACCTAGCCCAGCCAGTAGCTCCTACTGCCCTCACAGTTAGGAAGACCCCCAAGCAAGGGAAAAACTTGAAACAACTTGTAGCAAAAGTTATGAGAAGTTCCATCCAAGTTCAGACAGCTCTATGAACATTTCAGTTCCTTGCTTTTTTTTTCTGTAGGTAGTGAACTAGCCATGATGAAAGCAGTGGATATAAACACATAAAGAAAGTTACTAAGTTTATATGTGCTAATTATTTACATAAATTAAGCAGTTTAAAATTTAGCTGTGGCATTAAAATATGCTGTTTCAAAACACTTTCTCTAACTGTAATTACTACTTATTCTATTTTTATTGTTCACACCTTAACCATTGATTAATTAACATATGGCTGAGTTGAATATTTTTGATAAAATATAGCTCCAAAATTAATTCCACATATAATGTGTGTAGAATTTGTTTTTCTACATTGTGGGGTGGATTTTATTGGCCAAGATGACTTGAGAGTAGAGAATCTCAGTAAAATCTATGCTTCTATTGACTCCAGTGGCATTTTCTCACTTTATAAATATATAACATATATATCTCCCCTATTTGCTGGGTTGTCAGACATGAAACCACATACTTAAAAGCAAGTTTTTATTACAGTATATAGACCTTGAGAGAGCTTGTTGCATAGCCGTCATTGAATAACTTCATTATTTAAGAACAGAATAATAAATAATCTTTTAACTATAACAGTTGTTTAGAATCTGGATATTCACCTTCCTTTCTGGTGCTACATTGAACATGCTCTATCTACAAGGGAAGTGGATTTATTTTTTTGGAGAGTAGGCTGATTTAGGGTTGTGGTTAATACTGCACTTGCTCACTAAGCAGTCCCACTGAACTGCAGTAGCTGCCAATATTAAGAGTTGCAGAATTAGACCCTGAAGCAGTACAAAGGTTATTTCACTCATGTCATTATGAATATGTTTAACAATAACAATTATTTACCCCTTGCAGCAGAGATATAGCAAATGAAATTTCAGAAATGTGACTACAGGCGTATTATATTGAAAGATTTCTGAATGCAATAAATTATTCAAGCTGTAACTTGTTACTAGTTAAATATTCAGTTTACATTCTTATAGGAAGCCGATTCTAAAATGATTTCCTTATAATAAATACAGCTATAGCTAAAGTTTAGTTAATTTGTTGCTGGTTAATTTTTAATCCCTACTTTACTTCAAAAGTGTCTGTGAAATATATGTAACATATGTAACCTTTTTTGTTATCTGCAGAAATAAAATGTTGGCCTTTTCAGTGCAAGCTGTGATTTTACCATCTGCTTGTCTTACAGCTAGACCGTTGGTGCAAACATTGCCATTAAGGACTACTATTAATAATGGAACCGTCTTACCAAAGAAACCAAGTGGCTCTCTCCCTTCCCCATCAGGATCTAGGAAGGAAACTGTGCCACCATCAACTAAAAGGTATGGAGAAACCTGAAATATGTGTAAGGTTATTAAACTAATTAAGAAAGTAGTAAGTCCCATTGTTATGCTTTTTATAAGAGCATATATGTGCAGGTTTTTTCTCTTTAGATAACACTTTTCAAAGCAATGATCTAGATAATTAAGTGTTTTACAATTTTATAGATACTTATAACACCTCTCCATTTATAAGAGGTTAATCAAGCATACTGTTGTTGCAATAAATACCACAGAAATACACAATGATTAATCTTATTATTTATGTTTTTTCTTGATTCTGGGGTCTGGTAGATTAAGAGTAGGAAATTTCTGTTTTGGATTATAGAACACATTCTGAAAAGTAGTGCCACAGCTCTTTGTTATACACAGTAGAAGAAACAAAATCTGGGGAAAACTTTCAGTCCTGCAATAAAGTCATATAATGCTATTTGTCACTTTTTCTTAGTAAAATTATTTTATATAGAAATCTAATTTGCTGTGTTGTACAAGGAAATTCACTTATTTTAAATCATGCCTAGAAAATTCTTATTCCAGTGAAAACAGCCCTGCTCTGGCTAATTACTATTAACATGAATTTAAATCTCTTTAAAAATAACTTAAATGTCTTGGGTTTAGTTTAAAACTGGTATGCTGCATATTTGTGTATTCCATTGCATATCCAAGCTCTGGGAAATTGAAGAGGGTGGAGGCTACAGGTTCTGTTCAAGAAAACCTGAGATGCACTGCAGAGCTGGTCTGTTATTCCCTATTGTGCAAAACATAAGATTTTGTGTATGAATGACTTCTCCTTCTGCATTCTCCTATCTTGAATGCCAAGTCAGCATTGGTTGGTGGTGATACCATCAGTTGCTGGAGAGCAGGTTGTTGAGATGAGAATAGCAATGTGTCCAGAAATGACTTGTGTTTGTAGAAGGAGCTAGGGATACAGAGGGCACAGGTTTTTGATTATGCATGAGGTGGAAACCTATAGGGTGCTATAATGGAAATCTGCAGTTGACTAAGTAAAAGGGGAGTGTTGCTGAGTATGCAGAATGCTCAAGTTATTGTAACTACAAAACTCTCAGCACAAAGCAGCTTCTACTTTACACCACCCAGAAATAGAATCAAGAAATATCACACTGTTGTTTTTTCCTTGCTCAGATAGGGCCTCTATGACCTGGGGGCTTGCTACAGTTGCAAGATCAGCAGGATTTTTTGAACTAGTCCTGCTGATGGGAAGGAAAGATGCATTTTACCCTTTTAAATGTCATCAGAATGTTTAAAATATTTTAAAAAAGCAAAACTATTTTAGTGTTTCAGAAGTAAAATAACACCAATTAATATATATTGCATTTTAGGGTTTTTAATTTTATTCATCATAATTTCTTTCTGTAGCACTAATAAAAAAGAGTGTCACATAGATGCATTTATTTTGCAGTTACTATGAGTATTAAAATTAACCCATTTTCAGAAATTTATATCACAACTAAACTTCAAGAGGAATAGGGGTTTTAAAAAAGTACACTTGGGCATGAGCTACTTTGTCATTGGATTACTGTGATAGGAAGACTGGATTTACTTTTTAGATTATTATCCACTGCTGAAAGCTTCTGATATTTACTCCTAAACTAACTTGTAGGATTCTTAGTTTTTATGATAAATTATGTGTAACTCACACCTGGTGTGGTTGACTATCCTGTGCAGTGGCACTTAGACTACAGCAACAGATCTGACCAAGAGACCTCTACAGCATGAGCTGAGAGCCAACTCACTTTTAGCTCAAAGGATAGAGGCTCCTATACTAAGCTCCAGAGGTCTCAGGTTCAAATTTGCCAGTTGGCAGCTACATATGCTTCAGATATTCAATATCTGGAGTAGTTTTATTCTAAATAAGCATGTTATGCATATTAATAGTCAGAAAAATGAGTTCATTTATATATAAAATGTTGTGCATTTATTAAGAATGTTAAATATTGACTAATTGACTAATCAAATAGTCGATGCATTTTGCATCGACTATTCAATTAGTCCATAGGGTGCCTCTGCCTTTGAAGTGTTGCTACACTTAGGGCTGTTGCTACACTTCAAAGGGAAAAGCACTGCATGGAGCCAAGGGTCAGCTGGGGACTCTCCCACTGGCCCTGGGCTCCATGCAGCACTGCAGGGGAGTCCCCAACGGATCCTGGGCTCCACGTGGTGCTGCTTCGAAACTCCACGTGCAGCCTGGGGACACCCTAGCTGGCCCCGGGCTGCACACGGCTTTTCAAAGCCCCAGTGCCATGTGGAGCCCGGGGTCTGGCTCCAGGCTCTTAGCACATTGCCTCTTTGAAGCACCCCGTCTGCACACGCCCCCTAGTTTCCTTTTTCTGATAGAGGCAGCAAGGTCGGGGGGAGTGGCTAAACAACTAGCCTGTCGACTATCTGATAAGTATTTGCTTATTGGATAGTCAACTAGTCCTTCACATCCCTAGCATTAATAGTGAACCATTCCATATTCAAATTTTAAGAGCATGTGTGTGATAGAATTGAAAATGTGTCAGCAAAAAGGAACTATATTTTACATAACTTATTTGCATTAAGAAGCTTAATGGTTGTTTCATTTTATATAGTATATGTAATTTTAAAGAAACCACGTGAGAGAGGGAATTATTATAATACCCATTTTAAAGATGCTGACATTGTCAGAAACATTGAAGGGACACAAATTGTACTTTTGTCTGAATTTTTTTAAACTTATTATTGATATTTATAACTGATTCTTAGGATTACTATGGCTGAAAAATGTATTCTTCAGTTTGTTGTGTGTCTGACTGTACTTTGTGTATGTTCTTTATTGCTGTTTACCCTGGATAGTTAGTCATTTTCCTTTGTTGGTACAGATCTTTCATGCTTTCTTAGGGTGTGTCTAGACTACAGGGTTTTGTTGACAAAAGTGGAATTTTGTCAACAAAACTATACCTACGTCTACACTACCGCCGAGTTCTGTCGACATAACGTCAACAGAACTCGGCAGTTTTGTCGACATCGGTAAACCTCATTCTGCGAGGAATAATGCCTTTTGTAGACAGAGTTCTGTTGACAGGAGGCGTTATTGCATCTACTCTGTCCTTTGCATCTACACTCTCATGTTGACAAAGCAGCTTGCTTTGTTGATGGAACTGGATGCAGTCTAGACGCTCTTTGTCGACAGAAGCTTTGTCGACAGTATCTGTCGACAAAGTCTTTGTTGACAAAAGCCTGTAGTCTAGACGTACCCTGCGGGAAGAGAGATATTTTTTAAACAACAAAAAGTATATTATTGTAAAATCACAGAATTGGCAAGGATTTGGAGGCGGAGTTCATACCTGAAACTACTTTTAATTTTTTTTTAAATTGACTAGAAATGACATTATTGGAGTTGTCTTGCTCAAGACTGCATTAGAGCAAATATTAGATCTCAAGAATCCCTAATTTATAGTCCTGCTTGCAATTTAGGACAACTGAAACTGAGTTAACATGTCTTTTGACATCAGTTTCTTTTAAATTGTATTTACATTTTGGTGGTTAACTCATTTGGACCCAAACTTGCCCTCCTTATTCTCTTTACCATAGTAAAGAGATGTGGTTTAGAATTTACCCATGTTTCTAATGTGGTAATTAATTTTTGGATTGGAAGTGACTTCTTATACTATCAGGAATGTATGATGGAGGAGGGGAATAAGAGACTTGTGTTTTTGTCATTGAACTGAAACTCACAGATTTTATTCAAGCTCTACTAAAGACTCCCTAAATGTCTTATATAAATGACTTGGTGCCTTGGTTCCCTGTTGGTAAATTCAGTGTGACACCTGCCATTCAGACATGGCTGTTATAAGATTTAATTCATTAATAAGGACACTGATCTCAGAGTTGAGAATACTTAGCACTTTTCAATATCCAGCTCTAATATTTGTGCTCTAGCACCTTATATCTGAGGATTTCATTGAAATTGCTATATAGGTATAAATTACTTACAGTACCATAAAGGAAAATGTTTGGATGTTTTTGAATATCAGTGTTTGGAATACTGCCTGTATTATTCTGAACAGCATGTATGTGCATGGAATATTATTTGAAATTCTAATTTAGAATACAAGGAGAATTTTATGTTATGAACAATTGATTTTTATTCTCACCCGATGCAAAGTATTTTGAGGATCAATAATTAATATAAATGTTGTGCTTGGAAGCAGTCAACCACAGAATGTTAATGCTTAGTGTTCCCAATTAAAATCTAAATTTTAGAGCTGATTTGGAATAGTTTGGTTTCTATTAGACAAAAGTAAAAACAGAAAATGTAGAAGAAAAGTATACAAGCCATATCTTGCTCAGTAGGGATTCTTGTGCAGTATATAGCCTGTACCTTACCTTTTAAAAAGAAACAGTCACTCATTCTCTGCTTCAGGAGATTGTAAGATATTACAGTAAGGTAAAACTATGATGACTAGTGATCAAAATAAAGAAACTCATACAAAAAAGAACACTATAAAAAGCATGGTTTTGTATAGAGTATAAAATCCTTTAATATGATAAATTCCTGTTGCTTCCAAGCTAGCAACCCAGGCTCTCTGAGAAATTGGTCAGTCTCTTGAAATTAATGTCCTACATTCTATACTGGAGCAACAATGATTTTAAACTGGCATAGATACAAAATCAATATGTAGTTTCAATTCTTCTGTTTTAATATAAACACAAAAATTGTGTCTAGAGTAAACTTTGGGTGGTAATATTATGCAATCTATTTCATTGCATTTCCATCATTAGAAGATAATAATGTATCACATTCACAGGTATAATACAATTAAAACCATATAAGCGGTTCCTGTAATTTATTCAAATATAAATGCAGGTAAGGGAGCATGTTAGTCAAAAGTGTGAAAATATATTCTCCTTAAATATTGTAATACAGGCAGTCCCTGAGTTACGAGGATCCGACTTATGTCGGATCTGCAGTTACGAACGTGGATTTTCTCGCCCCGGAGGACTGGAGCGGCGGGACGCCTGGTCCTGCCGCCCACCTCCTCCGGGGCGAGAAAAGCTGCTCCCCGTATCCCTGGTCTGCTCGGGTGGCCAGCACAC